TGTGTGTGTGTGTGTGTGTGTGTGTGTGAAGAAGAAACAGAACCTAGTTTTGTTTTTGGGCTACCAAAGAACCCACCATGACAAAGCTCGCCTAATAAGGCGTTGAGCAGAGGGGAACCCATGCATAACTAATAGCCCTCTACCCCAAAAAGCCTTTGTACCCTGAAACAAAAGCCCTGTCCTAAACACACACACACATACACACACATACAGAAAAGGGAACAGAGAGAAGAGAGGAATATCAAGTAAGATAAATAGGAGATGGAGTGAAGTGGGCAAAGGTCATAGCAGAAGAAGTAAACTGAAGAATTCATCACACTCTCCTGACTGGACCTGAAAAGCTTTTCAACTTGGGTGGCGGTTGGTTGATTTAAGAAAACGGGGCTAAAAACATTAGATAGTGTCAATAATAGTCATTCCAAGTAGTGGACAAAGTAGTCAAATCATTTCATCAAGTCTATGTAGTAAAACAAAGCAAAGGTTATCTGCCAGTTTCATTCATTCTATTCATATTTGATGTACTGATGCAAATTGTGATCACATCTTCTAAACCTTGTTTCGAAAATGTCCTGGCAGAATATTAACATGTAAAATATTAATCATACAATAATTAATCACCACTAATAGTGATTCTTAATGTTGAACCTGACAAGGGAAATAGTGTTTCCATCGACCATTTTAGTTGTTTTAATTTGTGAAAGGGGTGAAAAACTGTGATAAGTGTTGTTAAATGATCTTTAGTTTCTTTCATAAATCACCGGCAAATTATATTTCATCGAATCTGTGACTCGAATGTAACAGTAACACATGACAGGCTGGAACAGTGCTTGAGTAAATGTGTTTGTTAACATTACACCACTGGTTATTAAGATGGTGGAATTTTGTTTTTACATTAACCATCAGATGATGTCGTAAAATACACATTAAGACTGATCCTGGTTCAGACACTTCATGCAGAGTGCGATAACAAATGAAGAAAAGTGTAGAGAGCTGAAAAAATCAGGTGAAACAGAGTCTAAGAAGAAGAGGGAGCTCACAAGAGGCTCTACGGAGCGAGTTGAACCTCTTAAACATTTATTTGATCTATTTACAGTACAGTCAACTGAACAGAGGAGAATTGATTTCTACTGTGACACAACTGAAGCAACAGCTTGGCTGCATTGCATTTTAACCATGACTACATCAATACGGTGGTTTCACAAACTTGACTATATACAAAGTTAATACTTTTAACTGAGATTAAAAATGAAAAGGACGTGGGATAAATTCGTGTTTTCTTGAGAATTGCTAAACAGGTTTGGCTTTATTAGTCCAATTTTTTCCAGCTGAAACCCTGCAGTGAGCTAACACCTAAAAACACTGTTAAACTGTGGAGGGACAGAGACAGAACATGTTGCTGTGTGATAAAGCACAAAGAAGAAAAATTGAAATGAGAAACAGAGAAGAAGACCGCTCATGTACAGTCGCTGCAGAGGATTCTGGATCATTTGATCGCAGGGCGGAAGCTGAATGTTTGCACACTCGCCACAGTCTTTGTTTTCCGCGGGTGACACGAGAAACGCTTGATGCGAGAGAACAGCGGTGGAAACACAGAACGTACTGTCAAAGATGATAAACAACAGCTGGAGCAAATGACTGAGTTCACGATGCTGCAGCGTATGTTTGTATTTATGGGGTCAGGCCTGCCACGTCTGTACGCTGAGAAGCATTTAATAAACTAAAAATAACACACAGTCCGCTTGTTAGAGCAGAGCTGTAGCTTCAGTACCACTTTGGATGTGGGAGAGCTAGTGACTGTAGCATTAAACACACCTTTTTGAAAGACATGTAAAGATGTGTAAAGTCTCGTTATTGTAAATTGGCTAAAGTGCATTGCTAGATTCTGTACAATGAAAGGGGTGTCGGAAGAGGGAGTTTGGCACTGGTCATCGCCAATTTGTCCTGAGCTCTTCCTTGAGCTTACGTCTCCGAAAAAGCAATCCACAGCAAGTCCGCTCAAGAGTTCACACAGATACACACCACACAGGGAAATGACACGTCCAGACCTAATGCATCCATCTTTCCTCTCTGAATGAGCCCCGTCTATTTTAAGGCTGCAGCTGATGTACAGTTGATGCTGGCCTGAAGGTAGTGCATACATCACTCACTAAATCCATTGTTTCACTATATGAACACTCACTTCTCTTATAAGCACTGTATTTGTACATTAGTTACTGTATATTTACACTTTAATCTGAGAGTAGCGTTAGAGTGTAGAAAGTGATGTGTTGAATTGAAAGATGTTCTAGCTGACTAAGAGGAGGGAGGAGATCTGGATGCATTCTGGGCCGTTAGGCCACAGACCAACAAGCAGCTTCAGCCTGACGTCAGTGGGTCTCCAGTCCCGCTCGCAGTCAGGTGAAGACAGAGGTGAAAGTTCAAAAGTTTCACACAGGGGAAGTACCTGAGCTAGGCCGACCGCCCTGTGCTTGCTGTTGGGGTCTGGGTTGGGGTTTGCATGGGAGGGCTGAGGGAGTGATGTAGTTGAGGCTGGGGCTGTTTATGTCCCCCTCTCCCACGAGAGTCAGATCGGACAGGGTGTCCTCCTCCAGCATCTGGACGGATTCCCCCCTGCTGGACGAGGGGTGGATGGGGGAGACGGTGTCGGGAAACGGTGGAAGTGGTCTGGATTTCCTCCCCCCTCCGTTCTCAGAGCCAAGTGCAGAGTCCAAGCTCTGGGACTGATGGCTCGCACTGAGCAAGTGACTGCCCCCGCCACCTCCTCCCCTCTCATTGCTGTTTGTCTTATTGCCCCGGCGACCGCTGCTAGGGAAGCTGCCGTTGTTGGGGTTACGGGAATTAGGGGTGGAGCAACTGGGCTCAGGGTTGAAGAGAGGAGGTGCAGACTGGTTGGTTGCCACTGGCGACAGGCGCAGAAAGTCTGGAAGCTGCAGGTCGCTTTTGTTTAGCAGGCCTCGCTGGTCGTCTGCTCGGTTGCTCTGAGCTTTGGATATGAGGTCGAAGAACTCTGTAGGTGCACATACACACACACACACACACACAGATACATAAAAAAGAAAATGCATGTGCACACATGTGCACACACACACACACACACACTCACAAATGAATAATCACCCAAAGTAACATGTTGAAAACCAGTTTAAAAACATTCATTGTCATCCAGAAAACATGCATCAGAGGGTGTGTATTAATCAGACAAGTCAAAGCTACATTCAGTTTGAGCAGACTGTGCTACATGTAGCTAGCTAGCATTGAAAGCATTTTGTGTTGCTTCTGCAATACTCCAGACAGGCAAAAGTGTTAGTGTGATCACAGCAACAAAGCTACAGAGAGAGAGAGAGAGAGAAAGAGGGAGGTTGTTCAGTCTTTACCTTCAGCTTCGTCTATATTAATCTTTTTCTGCTTTCTTTTCTCCGGAGCCTTATGGAGAGACACAGAGTGGTTGGGTAAGGCCAGGCCTCTTGGGTCAGGGCTGTGCCCAGCCTTGCCGTTTTCCCCAAGGGGGTGGGGTGAACCAGCTTTCCCTGTTGGCCTATCCTCCCCCTGGGGGCCACAAGGAGAGCGGAGCGGAGCATTGAAGCCCTGATGAGTCATGGCGGTGCAAGTATGGGCACAAGTGATGACAATACATGGGGACTAATGCTACTGATGGTGGAAATGAAATTTGATTGGGGTGGAGGGCATTCATTTCAATGACAGTGGCTGTTTTTGAGAGGGACAATTACATGAGATCAATTATGACATGAGATCATATTATTATGAAGTATTGTGATTAATAATGATATTCATTCATTGGAAACGATTCTATTTAAACACATGATCAGTTCTAACTAAAAGACAAGTGGGATGTTTCATACAACCACAATGTCAGACAGTGTGTACTCAGCAGCACCAACATGTAGACAAAGATCATACACCACAGCACCAGAGGACCAACTATCCACAACTAAAAGCAACACTACTGCCCCGAAGAGGGAAGAGCCTGTTTTTTTTTTTTAAATATCTAGAAACAACCAATAAATGACCATTTCAGATAGTCAACAGGTAAACCCCAAATAACAACAAGAAAACCCAGAGAGCTGCCACCACCAACTACATCCCCGGAAAGAGATTCTAGAGTTATGAGACCCAATATCCTCTCTGTGAAGCTGGATTGGTTCCGCCTGGCCAGTGTGTGTGTTATGGAAGAAAGGGAACCAGCAAACCAAGAGAGCAAAGTTGATGATGCATTCGGCCACAAGCAGACCACAATAACGCAACATTAGAAACCTGGAGAGTGTAACAAGGCTCTTGGTTCCACAGTGACAGTGCACATAAAAACAGTCACAGCCGGATCGCTGCCAGAGACACACATCGTAAACCTGAGCACGCTTTTAACACGTTGCAAACAGACATGGGTGATTAAAGATGGCAACAGAGAGACACTTAGTAGCGTGACATGGTCAACCAGGAAGTAGAGACATTGGGTGGGTTATGGAACATTCCAGAGCAAGAAGAAGATAAGAACTAAAAAGGTGGGAAAGATCTTACAGTTGTAGATTGGTTTCTGCTCGTAGATGCCGGGATGTGACTCTTAGAGGGAGCTCCTTTCTGTTTGTCTGCTGAGTGAGGGACAGAGGGCATATTTCGAGAATCCAATACAGAGTATATACAATAATAACAATGATACACAGTAAAACAAATACAGAAACTATGTTCAATATGTTGACAATGAGACACCAGACAACATTTGTTACCTTTTCCAGGAGCATGTTCCGCTATATCTAACACCACTCGCAGCCCGTCCAGGTTGGAAATAGGAAGCCCTAGATCTAAAGGTTCTGACTCCCCACTCTGCATCACACACGCACACACGCACACACGCACACACGCACACACACACACAAAGATTTTCAGGTCATCACATCCCCTTTCTGTATATTTCTTTCTGTCTGTCAACAGGCAGCCATGATCAGGAGTGACTTACAATGCGAGCTACTAAGTCAGAGAGGTGCAGGCCGTATTTGGCGACCACAGGCCTGAGGACTTCAGTCACCGGCTTGGTGGGTTTAGCTTTTAGGCCCACAGACCTGTTAATAGGGACTAAGTCGAGTCTGGAGAAGAACAGAATAGATTTAGTGCTTTTCTGTAGTTCTCTGTGGTTGTAACATTGATGGCCACTGAAACAGATCTAGACAGCATTCACAACTGTTTAAGACTGTAGGTCACTGTACCTGAAAAGAGTGCGTTTTTCTAGTCGAAGGTCCCGTGAGCACAATGTCATACAGTCTTGGTCCAAAACAAGTGGCTGCAAGAAAAGAGAAACGAGACAATGTCTTCTTGAAGTGTGTCCACCTTCATGCACAACCTCAAAGTTTGAAATCATTGACTCCCAGCATCATGCTCCCACACTCCTTTTGAGTTACATGGAACAGAAGAAGACCAAAACCGCTTCTCTCTGGTCCCCTGATACGATGTGAAATGCATCTTTCTGGGTAGCTGTAATCATCATTTATAAGTCATAAATCAATTATAAAGTTGATATTTTGTGGTTTCATTGTGTAATTGTCCTTGTGCAATCAGAGAATTAGAATTATTTTTGGTATTTATACTTCTTAACCATAACCTGTATAGAGGATTTTATATTTTGAACTACAGAAGAACTGCAGAGTTGGATGATAATTCACATTGATGTTTCCCTCATAACTCAAATAACTTTAATGATTACTGATGCTTTATAATCAAAATACAAACATTTTTTAGAAATTAAGCAAAATAATCCAATTAGTATTTTTTCAGTTTTTTTGATTTGTACATGCAATTTATTGAAGTTTGGGATACCTTCTCCCCTCCAACCAGGAAGAGGTCTATAGCTGCCAAGTTGATGCAGAGCTTCTCACAGAGGCCCAGCAGCAGGTCCCTGATGGACACTCCGGCCCTCAGCGGCACAGAGCAACATGAGCCGTCCGGCAAGCTTATGTTACATTGCCTCAAGGGGGCGCTGCCCCCTCCTCGCTCTGTTGACAGCGATACTGCACCACGGGAAGCATCACCCTGGATGATAGAGACAGAGACGAGGAGGGGGAGAGGAGGGAAGATAGGGAGGCAGGAATGGAAGAAGCAGCAGAGGAAAAACAGTAAGACTGACAATTTCTTTTCTCAGATCTACTATTCATGGTTACTTTTAAAGTAAATCAGTTAAAGAGGGGAAGAGGGTGAAGATAAAGTTGATGTGAATGTTTAAGCATCTAAACTGATTATCACTTTCCAGACTGACCTCATTCCTCCCAGACCCTGAAGTCCCCAGCTCCAGACTGGCTCCTGACGACAGTGAACCCTGCGATTCACGCCGACCATTACTGCCGGAGAAATCTGAAAGACAATACAGAACACACATCATAGTATTATCCAGAGGAATAATTCCAAACCTCTGTATGGAACATACAAGACGGATCTCTGTTAACATGTTTTTGTTTACATTGCATTTCAACATCTCTTCCAATAAAATCAACTAAATGAAACTGATTGGGTTCCGGGGAATATCGCAGCTACAGTATATGATGAATCATGTGATCTGTGCTACTGAACAAGCAAACAATTCTGCCATTGTTCTCTCATAGGAACTTTTTGTTTACAATAAAACACTTCAACAGAGGGAGCTCAGCATGAAAAAAAACTACTGACTGTAGTTGAAGTCAGCCAGATCTCGCTTCTTGGGGCCTTTGCCGAAGCTCCTGTTGCGGGACCATGAGAAGAACATGCCTTTCCTCCGGTCTCCAGAGTCATCTCTGCTGTCCTCATTTAACGATCGACCAGATTTACTCTTTTTGTCCTCCTGTAACACAAAAACAAAATGTCAGAAGGTTGAGGTAGAGGTCAAGGCAGGCACATATGATGGATGTAAGACGATTAGTCTACATGTACACTGTCAATCCTGAAAAAGGAATTGTTAGGAAACACAGTCATCCATGTGGGTTGTGTTACCTTCTTGGGTGTAGAGAGGTTGGAGCGGTCGGAGCCTGTGGTGCTGTGTTTGGAGGTGGGGCTGCTGGGGATGTGGTATGGGTCTGGCAGAGGCCTGCCCTCCACCTCCGCCAGCATACACTCCTGGTAGAGCAGAGACTTGAGGAACCGTGTGTAGCTGTCAAACTTCATCAGGTTGAAGATCTAAAGAAAAGGAAGGAAAGAATTAATCAGTGGAATGTCCAGAAGCACAGAAAAAAAGGGAAGTATGGGTTAACACAAGAAAGCAAAAGGGATTGAAGGCAGATAGAGAGGATGGAAAAGCAAGCAAACTCAAAACATTTCAAGAGGGAAGGACAAAGAACAGATAAAAAAAAGAAGGGACTAAAAATGAAGGGAGAGAAGAGGAAAGACTGAAAAAACAGATGACAACACAATGCTTACAGATGTTGAAAACACATGGGAGGAAGTACAAGTCTAAATCATTTAAAATGGAGAAGTCATCTAAACCTGTTAATATTTTAAAATAACTACAAACCTACTGATAAAATTGGTGCCCTCAAATTTGATGTTCATCCAGAAGAAGGTGCTAAAGGTCAAGAGCATTGGGTACATCAAATGTGCCTGTCTATGTACATTGAATTGCAATCTACCTGTTAGATTTGTACATTTCCTGAAGTGACATCGGGTGTATGTATGCCATATATGAGGCATGCATACATAAGGTCGTGGCCGTAGGTACGTCTGCACGTTAAATAACTTCTGTGTTTAATGTAGATATGTATGTGTCACTTTTTAATTTAATCACTCTCAAGAACAAGAGGACTGGGAAACAATATGTAGTGAGGCCGACACTAAATCAATGAATACTCTTCACTTCACTGGGTTTGGCAGTGCAGTAAGATACAACTCAATTTAATGATTTACATTAGGGAGCTAACCCTGAGTCACCATAATATGAGTAATGAGTGAATGTAACTCAGCCATTAGAAGGAGCCTCCCAGTTATAACTGAGCCACAACACACAGAAATCATTAATTTCAGAGCTCAGAATTTCATTGTTTAAACTTGAACTTGGATAATGGTAATATATGAGATAATCAGTGAGATGTGGGAGGGGTCTCCCTCCTCCCATATAAATGTTAAGATTCATGGTCTGTGCCTCAGTTCACTCCAGAGTCCTGGACTGCCTGAGATCTGAAGAAAATTCTGATAAGAGGCCCTCCTACCTGACTCATGAGCCATGTAAACCATTTGCCATAACACCACACAGTCACACCTGACACCCCCATGCTCACACTACAATCCTCCCTCCTGTAAAACTGTTTGCTCCATCTGTTGATCTAAGAATAAAAAAGAACTGTGCTGAACAGAACAAGGTACAAACAAACAGTATTTACTGAACAAAATACTTTCTAATTAATCTTAAAATGAGTGAATATGAGCATGAAATTGAAGACAACAAAATATAGACAACAATAATTACACTGAGCTTTGGCTCTGCTGCCTGGTTATTAATACAGGCTGATGATCCAGCTCTTGTAATTTTAAACAGGCTCCTTTAGATTCTCTCTTATACATTATCAAATATGAAACACTATTTAGATTATGGCTTGGCTGAACACTTGATGGTTATTATTTACTGAGAGATGTACATCTCTGTTGCCCAGTAAACCAATAAACACAATGAATTCCCTATAGTCAATATCAAACTAACATTTTCCATGTTGTAATAGTCCAGAGTTGTAACTTAACTTTAACTGAGAGTAGATAATCATTGTGTTAAAAGCATATGCATCTATGGGGAATACATGTATTGAATAAACTGTGAATATATGTGTGTATGTGTATTTATGTGTTTTTATTCATGTGTGTTTAATTCCACATACAGTGCATGTCTAACCATTGATCTTCAATCCAGGGATATCTTGAAAAATGTCCTCTATGGCATGTGTGTGTGTGTGTGTGAGAGTGTGTGTGTGTGTGTGTGTGAGAGTGTGTGTTTGATGTGTAAAAATATAGAGGGTGACTGTGCAGATATCTCTCCAACCTTGTGACTCTTATCAGAGTTTGAACATCTGAGCTCAGCTGTTGAAATCAATGGAGCTTTTCAGCAAGTCACCCCCCCCCCCTCCACAACATGCACATCTAAGAAGCCATTCACGTCCATGATGCCAGACAGCAGGCCAGGAAGAATAGTTGAACTTATGTTTTACGAACACATTATTTTCAAAAGGGGTCTGTTTTGATCCAGATTAATCTAATATAATAATAAATCAGCCCTTCAGGGAAAGCCTCTTCTCACTTCTGACTAGCAAGGAAGGTTAGAGGTCAGTGTCATCTTAGCGAAGCTTCTTGAGCAGAAGCTTCCTGTTTTACATAAGTGGATACTGGTGACCTTGAGTATGGTGTTGGTGTGAGCATTTGTTGTGAGCGCTTACTTGCAGCTGCTGCTCCTTGAACATGTCAGGTCGGGGAGCATTGAGAATGTCATCAGCGAGCTGAGCTTGACTGTCGATGTTGACCGGCGTAGTGGCTTTACTGGACAGGAAGCTGTTGTAGATCTCCCTGGCACGCTGGGAGAGCTGGAGAGGGTGGGAGGGTGGGAGGGTCAGGGAAAATGGGGAGTGGAGGGTGAAGGAGAGGTTGTGTGTAAAAAAAAAGGTGATGAGACAGAGAAAAAGATAATATGGGGAATGAAGAGAACTGATAAACGGCTCACAGATGAATCTAATTACAGACATTTTAAGACGTGTTCACAACGACATCAAAATCTTTGGAGTGTTCAGGTGAGGGGTTGTGCAGCAGGCAGGACGTAATGTATTAATTCTGATGCAGAGATCATGTGGTTTTGTTTACAGCACATCAACACTGGCGTAGGCCCTCATCACCAACACCACTCTCTCTCTCGACATCATCGTCTTCATATGTATGGTGCAACTTTTTCATCCTGAGATATTTGTTTTTTTCTGTCTGTTAAAAATGTCATTGCCCACTGGCTCACTGTGAATCCTAGGGGACTGGCCAGAGAAATTGCCAGGAGCTTCTCCAAAGTTCAGCACGTGTCTGAAAGCAGATTATTTAAAGAGAAGTGTACATAGATATGCATGTTGTGATCAAACCATGTCTGTTACCTGCTTCTTGTCATTCTCAGGGACGTGGCTGAAGAACTCACACGCCTGCCAAAACAGGATGTTCTCCTCACTGAACTCTTTCTTTAGGAATTCCTGTAGTACAAGAATTAAATAAGACATGCTTAACAATGACAAAATAAATCATACAAAAATGCAGTAATGTCAAGTTTTACAATTTTCACTATTATAAATCTCTTCTAATCCAGTCGGTAGTTAGGTCCGCTGGTACAACCTCACCAACCAAGCAATTTTATTTTGTTTTACATTTTGAAAAAACAATTTCCTTAAGATTTATTTTACTATCACAGATTCAGCTGTAGCTTTTAATCCACCTCAACAGAAAATATTAGATAAGAGATTACTTTCTAATGTATAAGGCTTTTAATCACATTTCATTACAATGCTGTGAGGTTTGTTTCTGTCATTTGACCAATTCTGCAAAACGCCTCACAAAACCCCTCACACAAGCAAACCTGATTTTACTTTCAACTCTATAAAATAAGTTGAAAATTATGTCAGTGGGCATGTGCTGGCCAACATCAGTCATGCGCTGTCATCGTACCGAAAAGTAGCGAACTCCCACGGGATCTTGCAGCAGCCTCTCGAAGCAGACAGCCCAGCTGGCCACTCTCCTCTCCGTGTGGCGCCGGTGGCTCTGGACACTGGGCAGGCTGGCATTACTGTTCAGACTGTTGTCGCTGCTGCAGCCCTGCAGCTCCACGCTGTTCAGTTCTGTTCAGCACAAACACACACAATTAAACAGGCGCACAGTGGTAGGTCAGCCTAACCAAGGCTCGAAATCTTCAATTAATATATATAGAAAATGTCAAAAAAGAATTTCACAATGTCTAAGAAGTTCTCTCAGCTTTCTTGCTGTTTACTGTTTCTCTGTGTACAGAGGTTCTACTTGAAAGCAGCACTTTCAGGAACTCATTAGGCCTGAGCAGCAAAATCTCAGTTGATCTCTTCAATACCACAGTTTCCCATTAATTACCTACTGTGGTGCCCACCACAATATCCTATTTCAATGATTGTCTTATCAACATAAGAGATCTCTAACTTGATGTCTTTCTCTGTTGGTGCGTTTTAAAGCAGTGTCTACTTCTGCTATCACTTATTAGTGCAACTTAGTATCCTAAGTAGGTGAGGAACATAGGATCTGGGTGCCTGTCAATTTGGGGGTCAATTAGTGAAATGGGATTCAAGCCCCAATCCCCCAGGAGAAAATCCTGTGCTTGACTGATTTATCCACCACAATATATGTATAATATGCATATGGACATTGTCATCCTTAATACTATCTCATCTGACTCTCTAAAACCTAACCTAATCAGGACTTTTTTGGTCTGCAGCGATTAAAAATGTGCCTTGAGGGGAAACCTGTATGTAGAAAAATGAGCCAGAGAACGTTGAGCTCTCAATGCCTATTTCTACAGAAATCTGCATTCAGGGATTCTGTAGTTTCTAATTGTGTTTTTTTCTTTTTAATATTCCGTTTAACAACTTTTGTGTGTGGATGCTCAGTTGCCCTGATTATAATACCAACTCATCTAACAATCAATTACTGTGCCCACCACTGGACACTCACTACGTCTATGTTCCTGATGTGTAGACAGAGGGGCAGAAAGACAGAGGCACAAAGAAAAGCTGAGAGTAACCAGAGTGAAGGCGCTTCAGGCCGGCTGAACTAAATTTGGGCTTCTAAATTGAGATAAAATAAATACAAGAACAGCCAGAGGGAAGGCATCACCGATCAGGTGCCTGAAACTACGCAAATCATCTAACTGAACTGAGAGAGCAGTATCCTGTCCACAGCCCAAGGCCTGTGTGATTTAAAACTTGGAAACTTGGCTATCCATGGATAATTACAGTGTGATTTCCGCTTTTACAATTTTTTTTCTTGAGCTAATGTTTTCAATGACAGTTTTCACAATGAATTAATTTTTCATCACTTTTTGCTGCTTGGCTCCTTCACCCTCAATCAGTATTTAACAGTTAACAACTCCTCAGACTTCAGACATTGAGGTAGAGTCCTCTGAACCACGTATCCTGTTCAGTGTCACAGGGAGTCTATCACAATGCACACCCTGCACAGAGCACCTGTCTATCAACAACAATACAACAATAGGACTCATTATACAGTCATACCAGGCTGATAACAAGAACAAAGCTTCAGGCATCATTCCAGGTACTTGTGTTGTTTGGCGATCCTGTTTTTGCGTCACTAATGCTTACAGTCAGTATAGTTTAAATGAAATGAAAATGCAGTTTAAGACTTTTACAACAAGCGAACCCAGGTTGTACCTTTTCAAATGTCACTTCGGCTGTCATGATTTGTAGGCACACTATACATTGTAGTATCTCAATATGACTGCATTATTTTAGACCTCCTCCATGTTTTAAGTGCAACACAAGTGTATAGAAAATGAGTTTATATCTGAAAAGATTTTTTTAACTCTTTATCAATAATTGCTTTTAAACTCTTAATCAATAATAACAGAGGATGTCATCTAAAATGTTAAATTCCAATACTTTCTGCATTATTTCTTCACTCATGAATATATAATGTCAGAGAGAATTAAAGGCTCAGTGTGTAGGAATTAAAGGGATCTTTTGGCATATCTTAATAAGCGTATAATTACCTGAAAGTAGGTTTCATTTCATTTTTGTTACCTTAGAATTTAACTACATTGAGTGTGGGTGATGAAGCCCATCATGTTGCACTGCCATGCTTCTACAGTGGCCCACAATAGACAAGCCAAGCACTGGCTGAAGAGAAGGCCAGAGTAGGTTCTCCACCTTCCTACATGCATGTAAACTGAGGCTGAGGGGAGTTGGTTGCCATGTGCAACGTCACTACTATAGATGCCACTAAACCCAAAACACACTGACCTAAAAGATGTCAAACAAAGTTTTTGAAAGTTTTAAGTATGATTACTTATTTATATAGATAGACAACTGCATTTCATAGATAACCGAGATTGTGCTTTTTGTGGAAAGCATCCTGTTTTTTAATGTGGTCACTTGTGATGTGAGTTGGGTGTTAAGTATAGAGTGAAACTGTCAAGAGTGGTTAATGTGGCAAGGCACATCACTGGGAAAATACTAAATGTCAGGTATACACTGAATACCATAGGAAAGTTCTTGACATAACTAGTCATCTGTTCCATCCTTGCAAACACAATTTAAAATGCTTCTCCAAGGAAGGTGTTTTTAAAATCCAGAAGCCTTATTGTCCAATTTATGGACATTAAGTTTAACCTAAACTTTCTTATCAATTTTGTGCATTTTGAAAAAGCCTTTGTATATGGGGTGCCAATCTACCAGGTGAGCTGAGCACCCTGGTTTTGACCCATCCCTTTGCTGCATGTCTTCCCCACTCTTTCTCCTCATTTAATGCTTACACTGTCCAAAAATGAGGGCAACAATGCCCAAAAATATCATTTAAAATGGTTAATTGTTCCTGCAATGCTAAAGAAATCAGCCATTTAAAGAGATATTTTTCAGTGAAAATGCTTAACAGAACTTAACAGTGACAAAGTGAGAAAAGTTACTTTGCCATAATGACATGCCATAAAAAATAATGATTTCACTATTTTAGAAATTTAAGAATTTAGTCACAGCACTGGCTGTGAAAAGTTACTTACTTTACTGAAAAAACAAGTAGGCTATCTTATACTCCAGCTGACACCTCACCTGGGTAGAGCTGGTACGAGCCTGTGTGGTGCCAGCGAGGCAGGTAGCGAATCCTGAGGGGTATCCAAGCCCCTCCATCCATACTCAGCCGAGCAGGGCCCCACGCAACCTCAAACCCACCAGGCTGAACACATAGTCCAAGACTGAGCATGCACACACACACTCATGACTGACAGCAACACAGGGAGGAAGAAAGGGAATTGGAAAAAAGAAGGAGGTTGAAGGTGAGCAGAGAGAGAGAGAGAGAGAGAGGCTGTTGGTGAGGACCAACCTGGCTGACAACCTGAGAGACTACAGAGAGACTCAGGTCACAATATGCACACACACACGCAGGCAGGCAGGTAAGTGATACGAGCACACACAGGCCTCAAGATGATGAATAATTCAGAGTCGAGGGAGGAGGAACTAAAAACACCAGAGCACACACACGTGTACATGAGAATGCAAACATACACACACACACACACGCACGCACACACACTGCAGTATTGATGAGAATCTTTTTAAAGAAAGGCCACAACTGAGACTAATGAGGCCCACAGCCCTCATACAGCTACAAACACAAATACATACAGAGACAAGTAATGCAAAGAACAACGAATAATATTTAATAACTGTTGTGTCAACTTTTACTTCAGATCAAAATAAATCCAAATTTATTTTAAGACTTATTACTTTAGTACAAACTACAGTTGGCCAAATCCCTGAAGTTATATCTGGGAAAACAGAGAGGAAGTTCAGAAAATGTTAATTAAATTTAGAATAAGGGAAATTATGTTTGATACATTATTTTCAGAAATAATTTTCCACATTTTTCTCTTAGCAAAGAGGTTACTTTTTCATTAGCAGGATTACGCCGAAACTACTGTACCGATAGTTTTGAAACAAGGTGGAATGGTGACATATTGAACCCATTCACTTTTGCAACGGATTAGATTGACAGGGTGGATCCGGATTTCAATTTTTCATTGTGAGATTTGGCACTTTTTTACATTCCTCTCGAAAAGAATCAGACATACTTGGAGGACATCTTGTCTTCAGAAGTTGTACAAGTGTACACAGATACTAAACTTGCTTGTGTTTCTTCAAAACATCTCACCTCTCATGCAAGAGGGTTCTTCAGTTCTAACTGACTAAAGGCAGGTTTCAGGTATTTAACCTCTGTGGTTCTGTACCCGTAACATACCGATGAGTGTGTGCAATTTCTAGTTCTAATTCCTTACTTGATGTGTGTTGTTTTTTTTTGTTATTTTTTTTTCTTTACAAAAAACTGTGGGTACGTAATCAAGTCTGTGAAAATGTAAAATTTATTTGATTACTTTTACAAATGTCAAAAAAACATTTATAGAATATAACACATCATTTTAAGTTGTAATAAGGGTATGGTGTTGTCACAGGTAAACCCAAGACATTCTATTTGTCTGAGATGTTCAAATAATCAGTGATTAATAGCAGCATTGTGAATCAGATACAAGACTTGTCTTGTAAACAAAGTTGTGTTTCCTATAAAAAAAAACACAGGGCTAAGTCAGAGATAGATAAAAGGTTCTTTTTAGCTCGATATGTTCAATTTTCTCAGCTTCTTTGTCAGTTGATCAGTATCAAACAGGGAAGAAAGGACTTCATTATAGCTCCAACAATGTAAGGAAAAGGAAAGTGGAGTCTCGTGTTGTTCAGGCGATACAGACAGTGTCAGCGCAGAGGTCTGCTTCTCACAAAATAATCATTAATCTCTACTAGGGTTATTTGAATGACTACAGGACTCAATAGTTTAAGAAGGGTTGAATTTGTACTTTAAGTTCACTTTCACTTCAGTACTTTAAGACAAATTCTTTGGAAACAGAGGTTTTCATGATACATTTGCATGACACTTAATAATTCTAGATAACTTTGTATAAATCACAACTGTCCCTTAACTTCTCAGATTACAGTTAGATAACTAAAACCTGGAACAGAGTTTGAAGTGTGTGTCTCTTTTTTTAAGCAACTTTCTCACAGAACTGTTTGGTTATCTCTGAAGAATTATTTTACTTACAAAGGAAACATTCACCAGTTATCTTTGGCTGAGTTAATGAGTATCTGCACTCCCGATGTGCTGCAAGTGTGAACAACCACTTTCCCAGTTTTACTCACTGTTATCTCCAAATTATGCAACAATAAAAAAGCGAATGTGATTATAAAAATAAACAATAATGAAAATATTTTTTGCAAAAAAAAAAAAAAAAGCTATGATGTTGCCTGGCTCATCAGTAAATAAAAACTTTAAACCTGCTTTCAAACAAGCACTCCCAGTCTGTTGCTTTGGATTTTTTTTTAAACTTTTCCTGCCAGCTATCGAGTAAAATGTTTGAGTGAGCCCATCTAAAAATACAGCAGGAATATGTCCAGTGAGCAAGTGGGTGTGGTGATGATGTTTCTAACACTCAACGGACGCGAAACTAAAAGAATACAGGATGAAAAAGAGGTTTCATCTTGGAAAGACAGCCAAATTCGAGAGCTTTTGGAGATACAGGCCAAGGTCAATGTGTTGTAAGTAAAATGCAGCAGAATTTATGCATCCTGCAGGCTCTACAGGCGCCACACCTCGGCTGATTGATATGGAAATGTTCCAGTTGTGAACGGGTCTGACTCTATTTCTTTTTGCATCCTTAAAATGTGAAAGGGGAAGTCAGGAAAATGTCCGGACGCAGTCTTCAAGAGTTCATGTCTGAAACCAGCATAAATGAGTTGCTTGCTGCAGGTTACATGCTGTAACCAGCACTTTACAGTTTGAACATATGGAAGGACACATTTTCACTCATCTCTGTTACCATGCTTTCTACATCACATGCACATACAGCTCATGGGGAAGGAGATCCAACTTTTCACTTACCCCAATGACCACACATTCTCTCCTCCAGAGACACGTGGTGTGAACAAAGGCCGCAAACACTTGGACATGAGCTGACTGAAGCCATGGTGTCTCCTCTTTAATCTCGTTTCTCACCTCTCCATAGTAAATTGTGTCTTTCATGTGCATTTGTGAGGTGTTAAAGCACCATTAGCAGTCTCCTAAATCTGGGAGCTTTTGTTATCACTGACACGTGCTAATTGCACAACAGACACAACAGTGTACTTCAGGTCTAATACAACAGACCACTATGACGGAATTCATCCATGTAAAAACACAGTGTCTGAATGGATGGATGATGGTTACAACCATGAAAAAAAAACATCTCCCTCCACACCATTGTACTGAAGAGTGTGTCCAACAACTTCTGTGATTTTCTGAGACGACCAGCACTTCACACTGAGATGTACGGCAGCTGTGTGGAGGATTTCAACTTCTTTTCAGTGATCTCTTCAGTCACTTTTTATGTGCACATCACCACAATTGTCTTTAGGAACTGCAGAAAAGTCTCCACCATTACCCCAGTTTGTGTAGCTGAAAACACCAATGCTTCTGCAAAGGTTCAGACACTACTTCATATCACAAACACACTGATAGCAATGAGTAGAGTCAAATCAAAATGTCAGCCTGTCCTATCCGTGACTTGCCGCAACCAGTGCTCATGCGCAGCTAATACGTTCACAGATTCAGGGACTATCTTTAGGCTGCAGACTGTCAACAGCAACAGAGGAGGCAGAGGTGAGGCAGAAGTTGAACAGGTCAAACCAGACAGTTGGCTGTTCATGTGACTTGAATGTAACCCGCCGCATATCATTGAAAAGCTCACTTTGAGCTTGGCCATGAACCTACAGAGTGGAACAGGATGACTGACCAGATACAATCTGCAATGCATATATACTTAAAGTTGATCATAAGAGCTACAGAACAGGAGTGCATGTATTTATTGTGGTCAATGTCTTTATGACTGAAGTTAAAAAAGAGAAAATGGTGGAGGAAAAGTAAATATAAATGATAATTCAAAGGATCATAAATTATGTAAACAGATACTGAGGACCTCAGATGTTGAAAAGGTACATTTACTCACCTCCATCGGAGACTGCAGCCGACTGTAAAAAAACACAGAGAGACATGGATTAGGATCTTCGCTCATCATCCAGATGACACACATTCATGCAGGCTCCAACAGGACGTGAGGGCAGGGAGGCAGCTGTCCAGGCATGCTCTTTGGGCCAAATGGAGACAGCCTGACTGTGTTTCTCACAGGACCAGGCCCATTATCACACACACACTTTCACATCATGACACAGAGAGTGAGTGTGCTCAATGTCTTGTGTGTGTTTGTGTGTGTGGGTGGAATCATCTGTGAACTGGCTATGCTTGTTCTGCAAGAAAGCCTCCAAAGAGGGGTGGAGATTACCATGTGTGTGTGTGTGTGAGTACAAGGAGGTGTGAAAAGGGGGTCTCCCTGCCCCCAATATCACAGCTCAGTGTGATGTTTGCTTGCATATCTAATAATCACCAATAACAGTTTGTTTATCAATTCCAGCTCTTTAAACATCCCCCTCACACAAACACTCGTTTTGTCTCTCTCTCTCTCACACACACACACACACACACACACAGTGATCTTTATCCCAGACATGCTGAGCTGGGATGAGATCATTCAACAGACACATCAGTAATGTAACTAACTCTGGAACTTCAACCACTCTGACTCAGACGGGGGGAAGTCAAAAGAAGAGAAAGGGTGAGGTGAGACAGAGAGAGAGGGACAGACAGGAGAGGGATGAGAGAGGAGATATGGGGCTAACAATTAAAGGTTGATCAGTTTGTCAAAAGAGATTGTGGAAGAGAGTAAAGAGTAAAAAGCAGAGAATACATGTGATTTTCTTATCCACAGAGCTGGTGTTGGATCAGCTGATATTAGATCAGCTCTCAGGATAAAAATCAACACTGAGCCACACTGTTGATGTGTCAAAGACTTCTGATGTCGTTAATCTGACCACTGATCTTGTTAATGAATGTTTTGTAAGGTAGAAGGTACGTCACAGGGCCGCTTAATGGGCAGACCAACTGGTTCTGAATATATTTTCTATGGTAAATTAGGTAAACAGACACATGAGAGTCTCATGGATGACTGCAGGGTTAAATCATATTGATCACATTAAAATGATTCAACTTCATTTGTGAAAATTAAAGAACTTTCTAATAGAGAGGGAAGTACAACAACCATTTATGGGGAACCAGCAAATGGTTCACGTTAGCTTTCTCTAGTAACCTGATTTATTAAATGTCAGTGTAATGTCAAGTAAAGCTTTTGAGATGGAGACCCAAAGCCAAGATCAGTCCAGTCAGTTCCTTGCTGCTCACAGGATGACACAGAAGAGCAGAAGCTGGAGGAGATTTGAAACAGAAACAGAACTCAGGAAAAATAATAATATTTGATAATTATACTTTTTTTTTTTTTACTTTGAGTGACTTGCACTCAAACGTAGCCTTCTACTATTTCTGTTTGGCTGATGTTGTTGCTGTTTTGTCTATAGAAACTTATGCCATTTACAGACATGACCTGCGGAGGAACTCTGGAGAATTGGGTCTTTCTCACCAGTTTGCCTTTCACATATGCTCTACTCAGCAAATTCACAACAGCAACAAATCATCTGCAGAATTCAGGTGAGGGTTGTTTTTGTTTACAGCACATCAACACCAGCATCGGCCCTTATTACCACAAACTCTCTTGACATCTCTCTCAGTGTCTTCTGTGTATGGCACCACTTGATCTCTTTGTTTTTTTGGTTTCATTTCTGCATCTGACGCATTTTAGAAATGTCATCAACACACTCACTCGCTGTGAATCCTTCAGAGAATCCCTGCTGTGATCTTACATCAACTCATTTGAACGTTCTCAAGAGTTTTTACCAATGGCCTGGCTATAGCTCTGGAGAAAGTCTGGGAAATCTCCAGAGCCTCTCATTCGGACATTTGCACTCTCACATATACAGCCCCTCCGGAGAATGTCAGAAGATTAGTTCAGTGCTCGTCTGAAACCAGCTTCATAGGCTAAAAACTATCCAACCTTCATCAAAGAATATGCACATTTAGCAGTTACCCCTGCGATTTCCAACCATAACCAGATTCCTTCCAGTAATCTACTTTCTGTGGTACATGTTAACAGTCAGCTTTTGAGAAGAAACTGGAGCATGAACCAGTCATACTCTTGACTCCGGTTCAATGCACAGTGTGTAAATCTAATGACGTTGACCCTTTAGTACAGCATACTTGCTGGTCTTATTCATGACTTGGCCATCTCGGCCATTTTAACAGTTGAGCCTGTCTGTGTGGACCATATGGCACAGCCAGCTTAATCACAGGGATTAACTATTCCAGAAGAGTGGAGGTTGGCACCAGTGTGTGAGGAGAGATTTGATGTGACTTTATGGCAGCTGATTGTGGTTGAACCTCCACACAGGACCTGAGAAAATGACAGAGGCAGAAACCTCACCAGTGGAAACTGGTTACTCGATCCCCATGCTGGTTACAATCCCACACATTTCACATCTCGCACTTTTCAACAGTGCATATTCTGTGTCTGATGTGTGTGTTACAATATGTGTGTGTATGAATGGGTTTAGCTTACAGTATGTATGCATATGGTCAACATCTGGTAGAGATGTGTCTTTTATTTGCAGGGTACATTCTTTGGCATACATATGTGTGTGTGTGTGTGTGACCACTTCCAAGCATACTCGCTGGTGGTTGAGGCCCCCAGTCCCCTCTCCTCTCTTTTTCTCCTTCAACTTCTCTCTAACTTATCTTCAAACTCCGTCCTTTTGTTTGTTCTTTCCCTCCTCCCCACTCAGACCCCTCTTTACCCTCATTTCTCTCCTTCCACTCTCCGCCAAAGTCATTCTCTTCTTCACTCCCTCCTTCCTTTCAACCTGATTTCTCCTCCTCTTCCTCTCCTGGCAGATCCTGGTCATTCTTTACAGACCACAGGGAATGACTGGGGTTTTCCAAACTTTCCCTCCTTTCCTCTCCCCGACCTCATAACCACGGAGACACATGCAGCTGGAAAATGTATAAAGCTTGATAAAGCCATGATATCGAATACATCTCCTAGAGCATGTAATAAATGTCCAGCTTCTCCATAGGCCCTGTATCTGCTACTTTTAGCTTCCATGCCTTCAAACTAAGTAAGTTCTACCCTGCTATGTAAGCCCATATGTTGTCAGCGGTTACTGTCTGTTCTGATGCTGATTAGTCACATATATAACTGATTTTATGTTCCCATCATACAGTAAATGCATTGATAAGATAAACAGAAAACAGTGACACGGCAGTATGTGACTGATGGTCAGGATTGTAGTTTCCAAAAAGTGGTTTTTATCAAAGAAGAAAAAATATTTTAGGGCAAAACCTCAGAATGTGTGCTTGTGAATGTTGTGAGGTCACACAGAGCTGTAATGGTTTCTTCTCATCAATTAACATGTCAACACATACGTAGTTTGGCATTTAATCAAACTCATACGGATTCAGTTATGATGCTGCGTGACAGCCATTACTAGCTATGGTTTTATGACATTTCAGTTCACAGGCAATGTTGAAGCGAAGAGGATTCTGAAGACACAAAACATAAAGACGACCAACAAAGAATCTACAATTTAAAACCCAATAATTTCAATAATGACATAGAAGAGCAGTTCTACTACAAGATACAGCTGCACAGACACAATTAAACTGACAAACGTCCTCCCAAATATTTGAGTCTCTATTGCACTGACATGTGCATCAAAAACAAAACGCCCTACAGGGATGTTGTTGTGGTTGAAAAGGTTCAGGCACAGCTTTTAATGCAGAGTCATTGAGATTTTTACAAAAGCCTTATGAATTGCAGATTTTCCAAAACTCTGGTTTTTGTGTTTGTATGTAAAACAGAGAGTTTGGGTGGAAGTCAAGGCTTTCTTCACGCATGTCCACTGTTGCTTTGTAAAATGAGCATGCGGCAGAAACAGCAACAATGGTGTATATATACCAGTTTCTCTATAGTTGTTTTCAGACATGACCTCCAGGTAAAATCGGTAGAATTGGGTACAGAGTTTACCCACAGTTTACCTTTCACACATGCACAACACAGTGGGAGGTTTTCTGCACAGACGTTCACATCAGCAACAAATCCTCTGCATTATTCAGGTGAGAGGTGAAGCAGCGGGGTGCAGCAGGCAGAGGCAGGAAGTGACGTATTAACTCCACTGCGGAGATTAAGTGATCATGTTTACAGCACCCTGATACCGTCGTCAGCGCTTATCACCACACACTCTCTTGACATCTTCATCTGTGTCTTCTACGTGTATGATGCCTCTTTTTCACCGGGAGATATATGTTTTCTTTTAGTTTTCTTTTTGTGTCTGACACACTTTAGAAGCTTCATCAAATTAAATTAAATTAAAGTAAATTAATTTTAAATCTTTCTGTTACTTTAAATATTTCTGTTACCAAACTACAAGCCTAATTTTGATTAATAGTCAGTCTGATGATGCTGGCATATCTTGAAGAAGATGTAGGAATTCATAAAAATGAATATGCTTATTTTGGTGTTGTGAGAAGTGTTGTGCACATAAATTTAAAACAGCGGAAGTGTTGTGGACATTTATTCACTCCAACACCCACTTTAACAAAAGATAAGATGGCGGAATCACATGTCTGCACAAGAGTCACACACTAGTCTGAATTTAACCTTTTTTCACATCCACTGACTCCCTGTCGCTGCTCGTGGCTCATAAGGGTCTCTAGAATTAAAAACAAATCAGCTCCAGAACCTAAAGTGTGGACGGGGCATTGTGTTGCTTTATGACTTTGTTGATCACCTGTTGGGTTATGAGCAAACCTCTGTCTACAGGTCATAATTTGATCAGTTACATCCTCCATGAATTGGCACCTTGAAGTCACACGCCTAGGCCTGTTTATGCTCAGTTTGAGTAGGGAGTGTTTTGTCACTGTGTGCGCAGGTCCCAAGTGCTTTATTAGCTGTGACTAGAGGGAGAGGGTTGGCTTACATCATCTGTTATGAAGCCTGGTCAGGTTCAAACTCTGGTAAAACACAGGGTGCAATTTACAGCCGTTCGTTCTCAATGTTATCATAATATCAAAACGTTACGCCAAAAGTCCTCTTAAAAAATCTCAAGTTTCCCTGTGTGTGTATGTGTGTGTAGACGATGATTCCTGGATAATGGCATTCTGTTACATAGCATGAGAAAC